TTGAACTCGATCAATCCAGACATGTCTCAGATACAGATCCAGAACTGAATTCTTTAAAACAAAATGGCCGCCAGTCAGCCATTTCAAGCCCGATCCCCCCAAAAAAATGACGTGCATCAAGGTCTATTATGTTTAATGTATGTACCAAATTTGAACAAAATCCATCCATGCATAACTGAGATCCGGGTCCGGAATGGTGAAAATGTGCGATTTTGATACATTTTCGGCCTTAAAATGGCCGCTATTCGGCTATCGTTAATCGGATCATGAAAAAAATGCATGTGTGTATGTCCCATATAATGTGTGATGTATGAGTGAAGTTTGAACTTAATCGGTCCATGCATGTTCGAGATACAGGTGATCACGGACGCACGGATGCACGGACGCACGGACGCACACAGGGCAAAACATAAGTCCTCGTTTTCGGGCTACGTCCGAACGGGGACTAATAATGGGTGCGACTTCTATTACGAATGTGGCTTCTAATACAGATTTGATGGTAATACATATTTTTATGATATCTCAACAATTATGTATGTGTAGCAGCCAATTTTTATGTGGCTTAGGATAGAAATTTGAGCATACAAATTATTTAAACTGCATAGATTATCCCATTTATAGGTGTTGCACGGGTAACTTCAGTAACACTTTGAATGAAACTTAGTACAAATGTGCTCTTGGATAAGCCAGAGACCTGAATACTTCACAGTTGAAGCCATGCATTGTAGTTACCTATTTAGCATAACTTATTGCTTTTCGACTTAGTTCAACCAAATGTACCTACATATAAAATATCATTTTCAAGAATCGCTCAAAAATAGCATTTTTATATTAAAGCAAAAAGTGACAGATGTGGAACGGCAAAGGTTGAACAGCTCTACACTTTCTTGCCACCTTCAACAAACCGTTTTTAAACAATACAAAAATATTGCATTGTGTAGTCTGCAGCTATATTTTCACAAGTAAAAATACAGCATGGATACAGGATACAATGCATCAGTTGGTCTGCCTATTATGTTGAAATTAACCTTATTCCCTATTGTCCCAGAAGTGTTCTCAAAAATAAATTTCAATGGTCCTAAAGTGAGAATGAACCAACCAGGCTATAGGAAGTATGTATTACAACAACAAGTCAGAGTACAGTATTTCTGTATAAACTAATTGTCAGTTACAGAAAACTCAAAATCAACACAGATTCAAATGTGTCTTGTCTGATTTATTATTTTACATAACAAAATGACACAGATCTCCAGAAACTTTTAAACTTCTACTTGTTCACAGCTTACAATGGTTGGACCAAAGTGTCCTTGTTGTTTGGTAACCAAATTCATGAAGAAATCAGACACTACCGGTAATACTGGATTCAGCCATAAATTCGCCCATCCGAAAAATCGCCCTATGTGATTTCACGGCTGGTGGGCGCTTAAATTGGGGTTCAAAATTTCAATCAAAGAAGGCTTAAAAAGAATTCCTGTGTGCTGAGAGTATTAGAGACATAGTAAAAATTAATTCAAAATTACTTGTACTTGAGATATTGATGGAAAAGCTGAAAACTAATTAAACAAATCAGAAAACTAAAATGAACAGAGTGTAAAACTTATAAGGTCTGTGCAATGTAAAAGACCATCTACGTAATAAGTTTCATTGAAATGTGTTCAGAACCAAACAATTATGAATTATTATGCTAATTACATGAACAGATTTTAACTCAAAACTGATCATATTTGTACATTGTCCTAGAGCATCTATGTACAAAGTTTCATTGAAATGTAATGATTAGAAGTTAAGATATCAGTGGAAAAGCCGAAAATTTACTAATCATTATTCAAATTAGGTAATTAATATGCACATATTTTCACCTAAAAGTAATCAAAACCTGACATTAGTACAGAGCATCTATGTGCCAAGTTTCATCAAAATCCAATGAGTGGTTCTTCAGATATCAGTGGAACAGTCATGGAACAGCTAAAAAATAGCTAAGTATCATGCAAATTAGGTAATTAATATGCATGGATTTCTACCAAAACCTAATCAAATCTGTGCATTGGCCCAGAGCATCTATGCACCAAGTTTCATCAAAAACCGATGTATGGTTCTTGAGATATCAGTGGAACAGACGGACATACACACATACAGACAGGGTAACTGCAAAGACTCCCATTGTGTGTTTCGGGAGTCAAACTATTAGCCTATCGGCTGAGATAGCCTCTGCTGTTATCAATGTACATTGCAATTAAAGAACAGAAGATATCATTAGAAAATGAACAATATATATAGTATCAAAGCAATCGGACTTACAGTTTTTAACAAGAAGTCGAAAATATCACTTTCTACCAAAAATGACAAAAATATTTACCAAAATTAGAGAATTGAAGATATCATCATGAAAAGAACAAATCTGAGAGAGGTCTAGCCAAGGTACATATACACCAAGTATCAAAGCATTCAGGCTTGTAGTTTTCAAGAAGAAGTAGTAAAAGTAAAACATTGACACGGATGACGACGGACAATCACTCATATGATAAGCTCTGCTTGACAAAGTCGACAGCGGAGCTAAAAACAGAAACTATTGTTTTTAATATAAATTCTAGTAACTGAAATGCAGGATTGAAAAAGAACAAGATTGATAAACCTTCAGTGAGCATTCAGTTTCAGATCATTGGTACCATGTTTTTGGATACATTCAATGACCTGATACATAAAACCACATTTTTTATTGCTCAATCACTTGACCCTGTATGGCACAAGATTGCAAGCTTCTATCATAAAATTGGGTTATTTATTTGATGCAACAAAACATGCATTCACAGCAGACGGAAATTCGTTTGAGATGTTACTGAATTTTTGTATTCAGTTTTCCATTTCAACCACCATCATCACTTAGTAAGCTGATATCCCGCAGTGGGATACTGTCTGTGCATAAATGCGCAGTGTAATGCCACCAGAAGACCAATTGCTTGAGAATATTTTGCACCATTACGCCATTTCAAATATTATATTAATTCACAGACAACAAAACAAGCAGCCTGTCGGCTGAGATAGCTCCGCTGTTAGCAATGCACATTTCAATTAAAGAACAGAAGATATTAGAAAATGAACAATATTGCATAGTATCAAAGCAATTGGACTTGCGGTTTTTAACAAGAAGTCGAAAATATCACTTTTTACCAAAATGACAAAAATATTCACCAAAATTAGAGAATTAAAGATATCATCATGAAATGAACAAATCTGAGAGAGGTCCACATGTAGTACTTACATATATAATATCTAAGCAATTGAACTTGCGGTTTTCAACAAGAAGCAAGAAATATCACTTTTTACCAAAATTGACAAAAATATTCACCAAAATTAGAGAATTAAAGATATCATCATTAAATGAACAAATCTGAGAAAGGTCCACATGTAGTATCTATATATGTAATATCAAAGCAATTGGACTTTTGGTTTTTAACAAGAAGTCAAAAATATCACTTTTTACCAAAAATGACAACAAGCAGCCTCTCGGCTGAGATAGCTCCGCTGTTAGAAAATGAACAATATGCATAGTATCAAAGCAATTGGACTTGCGGTTTTTAACAAGAAGTCAAAAATATCACTTTTTACCAAAAATTACAAAAATAATCACCAAAATTAGAGAATTGAAGATATCATCATGAAATGAACAAATCTAAGAGAGGTCTACCCCAGGTACATACACACCAAGTATCAAAGCATTCACTCATATGATAAGCTACGCTCGACAAAGTCGACAGCGGAGCTAAAAAGATCATCAAATATTTTTTGGGTAATTCAACTACGCCGGCAGTTGGGCCACAGAAGACGAAAGAAAAAATTGCAGAAACTAATCTAAAATTTAATAATTTTTTTCTAGCTGAATTAAAAAGTAGACCGCCTAAAATGTCATTACAATGTAACCCAGTGTGATTTTTCTCCAAAAAATTCACATTAACGAACCTGGTCTGTCAAATACATTTTTATTTATTTTATTGGTAACGAAAGTATATTCTACATGAAGTTTCAAATAAAAACGAACACAACTGCATTGCATAACAGCAAATGATCACAGTTGAGCAATCCAGTCATGCTGCGTTTCACAAATGTTGATTATTACTCAGTAGTCATTATAATAATGTACAAAAAATAAATTTGTTGAATTGTTATAAAATGCAAATAAAATTCAACTTAGTTTCATCGTAAGCAAATGATTCCAGTCTCATATAAACGCTTGATGCTGTCGGGTATTTGCCATGTTCTTTCTCTTGCAAATCGCTAATTAACCAATCAAAATGTTGGATGATGCAAACGTGTTCAAATTTCCATAGCTTATTTATCAATATGTTAATGTTATTGAACGCAACACAGAAGAGATTTGCCAATATTGTAGTACCATCTTTTGGCTTGAATTTTGATGGGAAAACGGCATGATTTTTTTTTTCAAATCAAAAAATATTTATTTTCAAAAAATAAACTAAGCATTTGAAAAATAATTTAACATTATCTACAGTGATAACAACTCATTGTCAAAATGAAGCTTACCCATTCATGCTCGTCACAATAAACATACTCTTGAATACAGATTAAAAGGATGGGGGCAGAGTCATGAATCAGGGTGTCTGTGGCTTCCAAGCATGCTGTAATTGCACAATCACAGATCAAATTCGAGGGCCTTTTGGAAGCCGACAACTGGGTCACGTGCCTGACAAATGTATGATGGTTTACAATACGATGTTTGTTTGTTTTCTATCGTCCCAAAGTGAATTTCTAGTGGTCCCTGCCTAAATTTTTAGTGCCTGGGCCGTTAGGACGATGTTAATTTCGGGGCCTGAATTGTATTTTAGTGTAAGTTGGTCTTACCAGACTTTGTTCTAACTGTGCTTCTAAGGTTTCAATATCACCTAAGGCAGGTTCTTCTACTTGCAGAAAATCTTCAACATCTTTCATCCACACTTCAATAGCATCTACCTCATCCTAAAAAGTATTTAATATATAAGGATAACACAATCCATGTCTGTTGGTGTTTACAGAAAAAAACAAGCAGCCTATCGGCTGAGATAGCTCCGCTGTTAGCAATGCACATTACAATTAAAGAACTGAAGATATCATTAGAAAATGAACAATATATATATATATAAAAAGCAACGGGACAAATCTGAAAGAAATCCACACGTAGTACCTACAAATGTAATATAAAAGCAATCGGACTTACGGTTTTCAACAAAAAGTCGAAAATATCACTTTTCACCAAAAATGACAATAATAATCATCAAAATTAGATAATTCAAAATATCACAACGAAATTAACAAATCTGAAAAAGGTCCACATGTAGTATCTATATATATGTATTATAAAAGCAATCGATCGAACTTGCGGTTTCAACAAGAAGTCGAAAATATCACTTTTTACCAAAAATGACAAAAATATTCACCAAAATTAGAGAATTGAAGATATCAACATGAAATGAACAAACCTAAGAGAGGTCTACCCAAGGTACATATACACCAAGTATCAAAGCATTCAGGCTTGTAGTTTTCAAGAAGAAGTCGAAAAAGTAAAACATTGACACGGATGACGACGGACGACGAGACGGACAATCAGTCATATGATAAGCTCCGCTCTACAAAGTCGACAGCAGAGCTAAAAAATAGTGCATATTTTGCTAGTAACAGCATGTTCAAAATATTAAAAAGTGACATGGGCTTTGATGATGTCATAGTAATGTTTTCTGTTATGAACCATGAGCCCCAAATTGTTTATTATCTATGCTTCTAGTCTAAAAGTGCAATTTGTTTGGGCTAACTAGCAATAACTAGCAATAAATGTAAATGGCTGGACTAGAAATAACCATTAAAAGCTTACCTGCCACTGTCTGACATCACTTATAGCTTTCTCAAGTTTTTCACTTCTTTCTTGAACTGACGAGCTAACATTACTCCAACTAGTAGTTAAACTGTTTATATCACTTTGAAGTACTTCAGCTCTTTGTTGTGAAGTTGCACTTTTTACCAAATCAGCACCAGTAGTGCACACATAGTCAAAGTTTCCTTTCTGTGATTTCAGTGTTTGTTGTAATTCCTATGACAATGTCAACAAGTACCAGTAATGATAATGAAACCAACAGAAACAATGCAAATATTGTAACATGCTATGAAATGTAAAAATGGTAGTCTTGAATCTGATTTGAAATTGGTTGAGGCAGTGCTTATTTTCCAAAAAGAATTGTGATGTGATAAAAACTCACTTGATATCGTTCAAGCTTATCTTCCAATACATCAACTTCAGTAACTTGAAATGATTCGCTTTTTAAAACAGCTTCTACATTCTCAATCCATTGAGTTAAAGCCTTTATAGCTTCCAAATATTGATTTGGTGGTGCATTCTTAAGTGCTTGACTCAAATCATTCTCATGTTGAGTTAACATTCGCTGTATTTTATCCCATAACTTTACCAAAGCCGTGAGATCATTCTGCACAGACTTGGTTGAAGCACTTTTGAATACCGCAAGTTGACTACCAAGGTTCTTTGTCTTTTCAAACTGATTCTTGTTAATATTCATGTCTTTTTGTTTTGCCTGGGAATAGAATAGAATAGAATAGAATAGAATAGAATAGAATAGAATAGAATAGAATAGAATAGAATAGAATGATATGATAGAACACAATACAATATAAAGCATTTTTGATACCAGTGAATTTAATGATATCATTGCTGCAGATTATTCGCAATAATGTATTTTGAGGTATTTAAAAAGAAAAGAAATTATGATGTAACAAGTATTTATTACTAAAAATACAAGACATGAAATGTCACAGTCCCCGTTATTTGATTATAAAGTTGTACAAGGAACATCTGCAAACAGGTGAATAAATATGTACTCTTTGTGGTTACAACTCATCATAAAGTGATTTCCGATGATCTAGTTTTGTATTGACAACTAAAAACTTTCACTGATCCATGTTCAGAATCTCAGAGTACACAAGTGCAACAAAACTATTTGTCATACATGTATACTTGCTCAAGAAACTGCATTCATAAATCTGAGTGAACCTTGATGTACACGACTTCTTTGTTAATCAGGTCTTAGTATATTACCAGGACCTGGGTTTGTTTCAACATCACCACTGGCCATCAGAATCATTCTTATGTTGTCAAATACAATTTGTTATTAACACAGTAAGGTTTATTATTTAAAATGTATTCATTGTACATAGAACAACATCTGTTAATATAAACAATTGTAAAAGCTATGTTTTCAGAGCAAGTAAAGGTTGGTCTGCTCATAACCTTCAATGGAGAAGTAACAATAATTGTTTGAAGTCTTTTTAGTGCAGTGATATTATTGCATTTCAATTATTAATGGGTATAAAA